GCTGGAAGTGGCGCTGTGGCTCAAGTGGTAGAGCGCTAGCCTTGAGCTGAAGAGCTGAGGGACAGCACCCAGGCCCAGAATTCAGGCCCCATGACCAGACCCCCCCCCAAAAAAAGAGAAGCAAAGATCAAGACAATTGAAGTTCAAGACCAGCCCAAGCAAAATATTACCAAAATACCATCTCAAGAAATAAAATCTGGGTATTGTGGATCCTAGCTATGCAGAGGCAGAGGCATGAAGATCAGTTCCAAGTCTAGTCCCCAGCACAAAGCTATACCCTATGTAAAAAATAACTAACATAACCAAGGATTTAGGGCATGACAAGAACAGTACAGCACCTTCCAAGGAAGGGCAAGGCCCTGAGTTTAAACCTTAGTACCATAAAATAGGTCAAGAAGACATAACAATTAAAAACATATACAATATATACCATATAACATAACCAAACATATACCATAAAATGAAAAGTAGACACAATGATCATCATGGCAAGAAGATATAACAATTATAAACATATACAATTTACCTAAAAGTTTATGAACCAAAAACATGAAATAAAGGGAGAAATAGACAATTCAAATATAGTAAATTGAAGAACTCAATATACCATTCTCAACAATAAGAACCTACAAAGGGGAATGGAAAGGTGGCTCAGTGGTAGAGCATTTGCCTTGCATGCATGAGGCCCTGGGTTCAATTCCTCAGCACCACATAAGCAAAAAGAAAAAAGCTGGGAGTGGTGCTGTGGTTCAAGTGGTAGAGCGCTAGCCTTGAGCTGAAGAGCTGAGGGACAGCACCCAGGCCCAGAGTTCAGGCCCCACGATCGGACCCCCCCAAAAAAGAACCTACAAAGACAAAGAGGACTTGAATAACAGATATTATACAGGAAACCTGTGCCTAGGTTCATTGGACTTAAAATCACTTATAAATAACAATGTAAGTGGCACTGTGGCTCGAAGTGGAAGTAGCCTTGAAAAACAGAGCTCAGGGATAGTGCCCACACTGCAAGTCCAAGCTCCACGACCGACAAATAAATAAATAAATAAACAACAATGTATTTAATAAGTCCAAAAGAAACAAGGAAATTGTATATGAAAAGACCAATCAATTTTCTGAAGCTAAAAAACTTGTCAATCATAGCTATAGAATGATCAAGAATCTAAACCAAATATATATTCTCACACACTGATATCAACATCATTGATATTGATACTGTATTTTCATACTGCACTCAAAATGTAGTTTTAATATTAATTTATGAGGTATCCCACATCTGGATACTTTAGTTTCCTCATATGGTCTTATAATGGGTGCTCAAAAAATATTTACAGTCTTCAACTTGTTTTGACATATCGTCTGAGGAAGAGACACTTTAAATTCTACTCTTCATGCCTTTCTCAAATTTTATGAATGTGAAAAGACACCTGCCATCCATAACACATTGTACATGTACACAGAGTAACATAATTAAAGCAATGATATATTAACAAGAAAAATGATGATATTTGACACTTACCACAAGCTTTAGAAGCAGCAACACAAATTTCTTCTGCAACATATTCTCCAGATGGAAACTTCAGATAATCTCCCTCAGCTTTTCCAAGAGAATGATAAAGATACACCTGAAGGACTGGCTCTATTTGCTTCACAGAATCGGTGTTTCCAGGAATATCACCATTCTGATGTATAGGAGATGTGGAGGTTGCTTCCATTTCTGTCATTGTAAGGCAAGCCATTCTTATCCAGAGTCTTTTTCAGAACATTGGCCTATTAGAGAAAACAGAAAGGTTACAAATCAAAGTGATATTGATAAGATATCCCTTTTATGCAAAGAAGTTTTCTCAATAGCATTGACTATCAACACTATTAACTGAATAAATATTGTGTACTATACACACAAAAATACTGTGCAAGATAAATTATAAATGCCCAGTGGACAATCATAAAACCCCAGCTATCAACCTGAGAAATTGTTCATATCAATATGTAACACTAACAGACACACACTAACAAGCAGTGATAAAAGCATTATCAGTTCCGCTGAAGCATAGGATTGTAATTTGGATGAGTTCATGACTAGAGATGATAATTTGATGACACCTCTCCCCCAGCAGATATATTTTTGTACAGAATAGAGAAGACAGTAACAATGATAGACAAACTCATAAAGGCATTTACTATGTGCCAAGTACTGCTCTAAATACTACAAATACAAAAAAAAAAAGAAGAAAAATACCCGTGAGTAAATGAATTACAATCTGACACTCGGTTCTACTTGCAATTTATGGCATTACTCTTACCAGAGAAAATAGTGTGTCAATCCTCAGTTATGAAATAGTACCTTTTGAAACTTTCAGTGAGTAAAATAAAATAAACAAAAAAGCCAACTGGAAATTGTTGGAATAGACAAAACTGCAAGATTTCTGAAGTTCATTTGCAGCTGAGTATGCAAATTTTTAAAGGATTTTAATTTATTCAAAGATAATTGTAAAAATATTTGTTAGGTTCTGGTGGCTCATGCCTGTAATCCTAGCTATTCAGGAAGCTGAGCTCGGAGGACTGTGTTCAAAGCCAGCACTGGCAAGAAAGTCCATGAGACTCTTATCTCCAATTAGCTACCCTTCCCCTCCCCCCAAAAAAGAAGGAAGTAAAGCTCTGGCTCAAGTGGTAGAGCACTAGCCTTTAAAGCTCAGGGACAATGTGTAGGCCCTGAGTTCAAGCCCCAAGACAGGCATATATTTATATTTCTTATAATCTATTATACTTTATTAATTATAGATCAGTTGAATACAGCATAATTATAGGTCAATTAAATACGGCAAAAACAGTTCTAACATGGAAGCAACAGCAATATTAAAAAGATCTCAAATGGCCTAATACTATACCTCAAGGAACTAGAAAAAGAACAAACTAAGCCCAAAGGTAGCAAAAAGAATGAGTTTTGAAGACTTTCCTGGCATCAGCCAGAGCCCATACTGTAAGAATTGCTGCCGGGCGCTGGTGGCTCACGCCTGTAATCCTAGCTACTCAGGAGGCTGAGATCTAAGGATAGCGGTTCAAAGCCAGCCCTGGCAGGAGATAGAGACCGTGAGACTCCTATCTCCAATAAACCACCAGAAAACCGGAAGTAGCGCTGTAGCTCAAGTGGTAGAGCGCTCGCCTTGAGCTGAGGAGCTGAGGGACAGCGCCCAGGCCCAGAGTTCAAGTCCCACGACCGACAAAAAAAAAAAAAAAAAAAGAATTGCTGCTATTCTACTCCTAAGTAGAAGTTCTATAAAAATTTATGTGTGTGGATACAAAAGACACACTGGTGATTGTACCAGTTTCCAAAGGGGGAAGGAGTAAAATACCTCTAAACTGCTCAAAGTATCAGACTTCAATACCTTCACATTATAGAACATGTTCCTTTCAGTTAAAATAAACTATGATTTTATGTTAACATCGATAAATCTTAGGAATTACATCATAAAAATAGGTTGTAGACTATAACATGCTATGTGCATTCTTCTTTCCATGAATTTCATGCTTTTCTTCCCATAATGTGGTTTCCAATACCAAAATTGTTTTTCTTTTAATTCTAGCTCGTTTTAATTTTGAATTTTGAATTTTTTAAACTATATTTTTAATAATCATGATTATTCACTTGTCACTTTTACAACACTTTAGTTATTTGGTACTTAGGTTATGCACTAACTGAATGAAAATCATTTAAGAATTGAAAGGAACACTTCAGATTTAATTTATCACATTTAATTTCTTCCTTCCTTCTTTCTCCCTCCCTTCTTTCTTTTTTCTCCCTCTTCCTCTCCCTCTTTCTCTTCCTCTCTCCATCTTTCTCTTTCTCTCCCTCCCTCCTTCCTTTTCTTTTTCTTTCCTTCCTTTCTTTCTCTTTCTCTCTTTCTCTTTCTCCCTTCCTTCCTTTCTTTCTTTCTTTGCCAGTCCTTGGGCTTGAATTCCGGGGCTGGGCACTGTCTCTGAGCTTTTTTTTTTTGGGGGGGGGTCCAGTCGTGGGGCCTGAACTCTGGGTCTGAGCGCTGTCCCTCAGCTCTTCAGCTCAAGGCTAGTGCTCTACCACTTGAGCCACAGCGCCACTTCTGGCTTTTTTTTCTTTTTGCTTATGTGGTGCTGGGGAATCGAACCCAGGGCCTCAGGCATGTAAGGCAAGCGCTTTACCACTGAGCCACCTTCCCAGCCCATCTCTGAGCTTTTTTGTTCAAGCTAGCACTCTGGCTCTACTGCCACTTGAGGCAGAGCTCTACTTCTGGCTTATTAGTGGTTAACTGGAGATAAGAGTCTCACAGACTTTCCTGCCTGGGCTAGCTTTGAACTGCAATCCTCAGATCTCAGCCTACTGAGTAGCAGATTACAAGTGTGAGCCACTAACACCCAGATCAATTTCTTTATAGAAGTAAAATAACCATTTTTGTAAATCTCCAAACAAGAAAACCTGAATAGTATACTAAGGAATTCAAATGTGATTAAACCAAAATGAAAAACCAAGGTGTTAAACCTAATACACAAAATGAGCTGGGCAGGGGAATAATTACAGAGAAACATTTATATAGGTGAAAATTACCACTAATGTACTAGTTGTACTAGTTCTTGGGATGGATGGTAGTTTCATGGGCATTAACTTATTATTTTTTTTTTTTTGTCGGTCGTGGGACTTGAACTCTGGGCCTGGGTGCTGTCCCTCAGCTCTTCAGCTCAAGGCGAGCGCTCTACCACTTGAGCTACAGCGCCACTTCCGGTTTTCTGGTGGCTTATTGGAGATAGGAGTCTCAGGTTCTTTCCTGTCCGGGCTGGCTTTGAACCGCGATCCTCAGGTCTCAGCCTCCTGAGTAGCTAGGATTACAGGCGTGAGCCACCAGCGCCCGGCTTAACTTATTATTTTTTATAACATAAATTATATCTACTCTACTTTCCCTATTACAACAATATGCACAAATATTCTCAATAAATCTGGAAAATGAACATATACCTGGCTAGTATAAGCCCTATAAGAAATCATCATGATCTCAAAAGTTCTCTCATGCTTCTTCACCAATCCTTAATCCTACCACCCAAGCAGCCACTGTCCTGGTTTTATTTCCACCAGAGGATAAACTATTCTTTTGCTCACTGACTTTCTTGCATCACTAGTGAAAGTTTACTGAAGTTACTTAAGTTATACTCATTACTGTATTATTAGTGCCTGTAAAGGTGCCTAACACAGGAAGTTGTTGAATAAATGGTTAAATAAACATTATTATAAATTTTAATCAACTTATGCACTCACTGAAAAAACAGAAGCTCAAACATAAAATTCTAATGTTAATATCATCATATACTCATATACCTTAGTCTTATTATTTACTCATCTATATTAAAATTCTGAGACACAGCTTTTCAGATCAATAAATACTCATGAGGAAAAAGCTAAATTGGGAACCAAGAAAGTTAAAATTAACTTTCCTTTTTGCCAATATTTGGGTTGGAACTCAGAGTCTAAAGCCTGAACCATGCCTCTAGACTGGCTTTTTGTTGGTTATTTGGAGATGAAGTCCCATGGACTTTTCCTCAGGCTTCAAACAATAGACCTCTAGATCTTAGCCCCTGAGTAGCTCAGTTTAACCCACTTATTACAAACTAATTATATGGCAAACTAATCTCACCAGCTCCCAGCTTAAAAATTACTTTTAACCCTTTTTTGTCATACTGAAATTTGAACTCAGGGCCTTAAGCTTGCACAATACCAGTAAGTCATGCCTCCATCTCTGTTTTTCACTAGTTACTTTGAAGATAGAGTCTTACTTCTTGCCTTGGAAGGAGAACTTCAATCGACCTACGTTTAGACTTCTCTTCACTAAAATGTTAGGTATATACAATCAAGTCCAGTTTCCCTGAAAGGAGACAGTCTGCTGGACCCAGGCTAAGTACTATGGTCCTTCCAATCTCTGCCTCAGTGTAGCTTAGGATAACATGTGCATACCACAGCTCCTAGATATAGGTTGAGAAGGGGGTCTTGAGAACTTTTCTCCCAGGCTTGCCTGAAACCAAGATCCTCCAATCCTCAGACTCAAGTAGCTAAGATTACAGGCATGAGCCAGCAGCACTCAGCTTAACCCAGTATTATTACAAGCTAATTATATGGCAAACTAATCTCACTTCTACAAAGAAATTGATAGGTTAAATCTGAGGTATTCCTCTCAACTCCTAAATAATCTCCATTTGATTAATGGTTAATTTTTCTATCAAATAATTTAAGTGCTCCAAAAGTGACAAGGAGAGAATTATCATGACTGTTAAAGACAGGTTTTAGAAATGTCATACAATAATAAAACTCAAGCTAGAAGAGAAAAACAATTTAGACAATGACAGCACAACTTTATTTGCAAAAAGGCAAAAAAAAACACAGAAAGACAAATGGACACAACATGTTCCTAGAACATATAAAGTAGAATTAAAAGCAAACTGAAATTAGGAGATATTAATAATCAAGCCTTGAATTGGCAAATATCAAGCCATCTGAAATACCCTGTTAGTGGAGAAATATAAATGTAGAAGTATAGAAAAATATAAACTGGCACTTATACAACGTTAATTTGAAAGTATATGTTTGAATTAGTAACACACACCATTTTTGTTAATTCAGAAATTATTTTTCTATTTAACACATAATTATATATGCATATATACATATATGTTAAATTACATTAAAAGTGCTACCAACTTAAGAAATTTTAAGAGAAAATAAAGAAAAACATATACAAATAGCTCTTCTAAAGAGTTTTTCTGTGGGGCTGGGAAGGTGGCTCAGTGGTAAAGCGCTTGCCTTGCATGCCTGAGGCCCTGGGTTCGATTCCTCAGCACCACATAAGCAAAAAGAAAAAAAGCCGGAAGTGGTGCTGTGGCTCAAGTGGTAGAGTGCTAGCCTTGAGCTGAAGAGCTGAGGGACAGCGCCCAGGCCCAGAGTTCAAGCCCCATGACCGGACCCCCCCCCAAAAAAAAGAGTTTTTCTGTGGAGAGAGAACTGAAAAATGGGGCAGTAACTTGAAGAGACTTTAGAGTCAAGTAATGATATAAATTGGGAATTTGTACCAGCTTAGCAAAAAGGGTTTGGAGATATGATCAAGTGATAGAGCTCTTGCCTTAGCAACTGTGAGGTCCTAGATTCAAACCCTAGTACCACATATATCTGTTTCTAACTAGAAAATATTTATTTCCCACCCCTAGTTTAAATCAGTGCTTCTCATGGTCTGATCTCCAGATCAACACCAGCAGAATCACTTGAGAAATTGTAAATGTTCATTTCAGAAGCACTGAAACAGAAACTATCAAAGTGAAGTCCAGTAATTTATGTATTAAAAAGCCTTGTAGGTAATTCTAATAAGAAACAATGGATTAGAGAATACGTCTGGTGTAGCCAGGTACAGATCCAAGAATCTACCTGAAGTTTGTCTTCACAAGGGGCCCGAGGAGATGTAATGGAAGCCTAACACAGCTGAAGGAGATTCTGTGAGTGCTTAATACAAAGTGAGTCTACACACCAGCAGCTTACACCTACAATCCTAGCTAGAAGGAGGCTGAGATCTGAGAGTAATGCTTCGATGCCAGCCCATACAGACAAATCCATGAAACACTTATCTCCAACTAATAAAAAAAAAACTGCTAATGTGGCTCAAGTGCCAGTCATAAGCTAAAACATCAAAGTCATCTTAAATGGCCTTCTCCCCCCCAAGTCATCCTTCCTTCTTATCTAGTCCAGAATGAAGTCTTGTGATATCTTTCCAGTCTGACTTATTTCCTCAAAGTAATTTCTCATTATTTTAGTGCCATTTTATTTTCCTTCCTTTATCATTTCACTTGTTACTTCAAACTATATCGAGCACAGGTATCACTTTAATTTCTCTAAAATATTTGTTTTAGAAAGCTGTTTCCCAGCTCAAAACTTTTTACTGTTGCTTAAAGTGAAAAGCAGTAAGCCACTAAAGATATGAGGCTACGAAAATACCCCAATAAGGAACATTACAGTGGTAGCTCTATTCAGTATAAACGGAAGGGAGTGATGCTAGATTCTGAGCAACTGATCTGATTTTCAAAATTCTAGGCTCAAGAGACAAGTCTTGGGATTCAAGTGATAAAAAGATCTAGAAAGCAGAGATGTAAGAGACAAACAGAGAAATGTTGGATGGGTTAACAGGTAAATGAAAAAGGTAATTTAGAAATGATGCCGAATTTAAAGCCTACATGACCAGGACAGAAGAATATTAAGGAGCTGTGTTAGGCAGCATTTACTGTGATTAAACATTCAACACTGTCAACTTAATAGGAGGAGAGTTTTATTTTGGCTCCTCATATCAGAGGTTTTGGTGGATGGCTGTTTGGCTTTCTTACATTAGGCCTGTGGTGGTACAGTACATTATGGGAAGAATGCCTAGCAGATTTGGTCTGTCTCAGGAAATCGAAAAGCAAAAAGAGAAGAGGAGCCAGCAATCCAATGTCTCCTAGGCCATGCCCCTGCTGATCCTAACTTCCCTCTACTAAACTCTGACTCCCAATAGTGCCAAGGTTAGTGACCAAACATGAGCCTTTGAGAGAAATTCAAGGTGTATAAAATGATCGTTTTTAATTGGGGAATCTTGGACTTAAGGACCACAAACCATAAAAAGTGGCAAAAGACCCCTTCTGGCAAAGATCACTTAATATGTGATATAAGCAACAGGATGTGCACGTAGGCAATACCATTAGATTTATGATGTGAAATCACTGAACAAAAGTTATAAAGGTACAAATAGGACACAAAATACATTAAGCCATTACTGCACCAGAGTTTCCACATCATCTCTATTAAGGGAGCTCTTTGAGTCTCAATCTTGGTTTTTTGGTTTTTGTTTTTTTCTCCCCCCGCCCCCCCCCCGGGCAACCTAGGCCAAGAGAATTACTTACATAAGTGGGATCAAGCAACTTAAGTATTAATAGCCTTACAATTTAGTGTCTGTTTGGGCACTATACACATCATCTCTATTAAGGGAGCTCTTTGAGTCTCAATCTTGGTTTTTTGGTTTTTGTTTTTTTCTTTTTTTTTCCCCGGCAACCTAGGCCAAGAGAATTACTTACATAAGTGGGATCAAGCAACTTAAGTATTAATAGCCTTACAATTTAGTGTCTGTTTGGGCACTACACATCTCAAATCTTGAAATCAAACAGGACACTACCACATTTGTTATGTCCTAGTCCACGCTGATTTTTCAGTAGTAAGGGATTGCTATTTAGCAGAGCAATCTCTAAAAACTCATCTTTTACAAAGACATGACATTGTAGAAAGAAAGGTAGATATCTAACATTAACACAGTAAACCACTTCAAACTTCAGGTTCAAGCCTGAGCTCATACTGGTGCCAAAGAAAGGAAAAAAGAAAAAGAAAAAAAAAAACACCTGTATAGAAGAGGAGCAAAAGAAAGTTCTTTGCAAAAATATCCACAAGAGGGCAGCACAAGAGCAGATGGGGGCAGCACAATGGGGCTCAAAGAAAAATCATTTTGATGCCTAGTAAGACCCCTTATCAAGACCCTTTAGCCAGATCAAGACCTAAAGTCCTTTTTCTCTATAAAAGAGGAAGAAACAGGAGCCACTGGCAAATCAATTTATGCACAGTCATCCTACTTTTCTATAAATTTCCTTGAGATATCTAGCTATGACAGTAGCCAAGACTTCACTTCAGACTTGCAAAATTAGACACTTACATCCCTTTCTCCAATGTCCTATCTTTGTAAAGCTATGTTTTCAGAGACTGCACTGATCAAAAGCAACTATTTACTGTGTAACAATTAGAGTGTATCAGGAAATGGCAGTGTAGTGGTATTCAATTTGATTCTAAGGAATTTGTTTTTAACTTACAGTTATGCACGCATCCTATTCAATTCTTACAAATAATCTTATAAGAAAGAAAGTAGTAAGCAATACAACTGTTAAATGTCAGGAAGACCCATCATTCAAACCCAAATCAGACTTCAAAGCCAATTTCCTTTCCCATTTTGCCTTAAAAGCATCCCGTCTTTCAGCAATAGCTAAATAGAGAAAAGGTAACATATTTTCGTCTCTTAACTGAGAAATTTGTCTCAATTACTAAAAAAAAAAAAAGGCACTAAAAGTAATGAGCTATTCCTTAACCAGACGCTAAAATATGCTTTAAACTTCAAGGCATTCAATTAGAGCAAAAATAGCATATGTGCTTATCTGATTAGCAAGTACTGCAGCTTTCCAGTACAGGTACAGGTGTGTCCAGCACATGCTGGACACAGACTGCAGGTAATTCCAACAGGTAAGTTCACATACAAGCAAGTGATCCTCACACTTGAAGTGTTTAGGCAAGACACACAGAGAAATACAAGCCAAAAATTGATTATTAGTTTTCAGATCTGCTAGATGTATCAGAATATTTGCAGTAGCCCAACAATCACTTCTACAAACCTATTATGAAACCAAAAGCAATCATCCCTTATTCCCACTTCTGTTTTCCTTCTACACATTTCTACTCCCTTGTATGACATACTGAGCACTCCTATTCTTTCATTCAGAGAAAAGGAATTTCCCCTGACAGATTAATAACCACCGGAAAGCAGCAGACTGGGTACATTCAACCGACATAGCAAGCTTAGGCAGATAAAACCATCCAGGAAGCATTCAATGTAATAGAAGAACGCCCCCTCTCCCCCCCCCCCACCCCCGGGAGAGGGAGAGAAGCACTAGCTAACGCGTTCTTTCAATAAGTATTCCTTCTTACTTGAAAATATGTGTTTGATAGATAAATCTCCGGCTACTAGGGGAAAGACTTAACGAACATTTTACTATTCTCTACAAAGCCACGTTGTTAAAAAAAAAAAAAAGCGATGCTATTTACAAAGATCCAAGAGCAACCATGATACCCTAAAATTATTCTCACAGACCCACACGAAAAGTTCAAGCCTGCCGTTTTCAGAGTGATCAACAATGAGCTCTGCTTGTCTTCACGTGCATCCACCCTTCCTACGCATGCACCCCCAGTTCCCCCCCCCCCGGCACCCTGACACCTTCGCCTTCATTGCGGCAAAAAAAAGACAGCAGCCCCAAGCGCACCCCAGCCCCGATCGCACCCCACCCCCGATCGCACCCACCCCCGATCGCACCCCACCCCCGATCGCACCCACCCCCGATCGCACACCCACCGTCGCAGGAGGGGAAGGAAGGGCTCCTCCCCCGCCTTTTTTTTTTTCAATTTCTGCAGAAGAGTAACAGTTCACATCTTCCCGTTCCCTGCTTCGGGAACCTGAAAACAGAAGCCACAGTTACTACCGTAGAAATCCCGGGTGGGGGCGGGGGGGGAGGCTAGAATATAGATGGTTTCCCGCCCCCCCCACCCCCTAGGGCTGTTCAACTAACTAGAAAATGTTTAAAGCAGGGTAAGTAAAGGGGGTGGGGATGGGGGTCACAAAGCGCACATGGATGCAAACCGCCCACCGCCACAGCGCGACCCCGAGCTCCAGATTCGGTCTGAAAGGGGAGGGTTGTTCCGGCTGGGAAGTTCACTGCCATTCTCGGGGGGAAGGGGTTCGAGACTGCCCCCCAGCCCATCCACCCGAGCCACAACACCCACCGGGGGCACAGCCCGCAGGGCCGCCGCCTCCTCC